ATCTCATATGGTCCCCCAAGCACTGCCAGGAGTAATTCCTGAGTGCATGAGCCAGGAGAGATCCCCAAGCATCGCCAGTGTGACCCAAAAAGCAATAATAATAATAATAACAATAATAAGATCCAAAATTATTTGCTTGAGTCACTAGTTCTTAGAAGATGAAAGGCAAAAGATTTGTCCATCAGTGAGGAATCTTTCTTGCTGACATCACAATCACTATCACTATCATCCCGTTGTTCATCGATTTGCTCGAGCGGGTGCCAGTAACGTCTCCATTCATCCCTGTCACGTGCAGTGTAGCCCGATGGTATATTGGGGGCTCTTTCAGGGTCAGGGAAATGAGGACCATCAATTGTTACTGTTTTTGGCTTATCGAGTACACCACGGGTAGCTTGCCAGGCTCTTGCTTACATAGGTAAAAGGTAAAGGTAAAGGCCCTCCCATTGATCGTCGATTTGCCCGATGCGGGCCCAGTAACGTCTCCATTGGAGACTTTGTTGTTACTGTGTCTGGCATATCGAATACTCTCGGTAGCTTGCCGGGCTCTCCGAGAGGGGCGGAGGAATCGAACTCAGGTCGGCCATGTTGGCTGCGTGCAAGGCAGACGTCCTACCCGCTGGACGATAGCACAGCGATAGCACAGCGGGTAGGACGTCTGCCTTGCACGCAGCCAACATGGCCGACCTGAGTTCGATTCCTCTGCCCCTCTCGGAGAGCCCGGCAAGCTACCGAGAGTATTCGATATGCCAGACACAGTAACAACAAAGTCTCCAATGGAGACTTTACTGGGCCCGCATCGGGCAAATCGACGATCAACGGGAGGGCCTTTACTTGCTTACATAAACACTGAAAAATTTTGTCTAATAAATAATAATGTGATAAAAACTACTTCTATTTTATTTTGAATGGCCTATGCCTGGTGGTACTTGTGGGAACATACAGTACTAGGAAGCTAACAGGGCCTAGAACACAACACATGGCTCAGACCATTGAATTTTCTCTCTAGCCCAAACTCCTTTAGATATTGACCAAGTAGGAAATTTGGCCACACAGCTGAAAGCTTGGTACTTACTTAAGATTCCAGTGGATACAAGCCTAATTCAAACTATAATGCGTGCTCTCGATTATGCTAACTAACGACCAATTATCAGGCATCAGGCACTTTGTCAGGATTAGCTAGTTAAATGATGTTCTTAGCAAGAAAATTGGGAAGATAGTTCCATAATGGTCCCCAAAAGGAAGATAAGAGTTAAATTTTTAAAATCTGGGACCAGGGCTGGAGCGATAGCACAGCGGGTAGGGCGTTTGCCTTGCATGTGGCCGACCCGGGTTCGATTCCCAGCATCCCATATGGTCCCCTGAACATTGCCAGAAGTAACCCCTGTGCATCGCTGGGTATGACCCCCCCAAAAAAAATCTTTGACCTATCACACGGTTACTTCTCCCAGAAAAGAACATAACATGAGGCCCCCATAGCCATGCCACCAGTCTCTGCGCCAGGCTGTTTCACTCGAGGCGTCCCAAAGGGGAGCTGGTGAGAGCCCTCCCCACCCCAAGGGACCCAGCCCTGGCAGCCGAAAACCTCCACAACCCAACCGTTGCCACGCTCAAGGCCACTCCCCACAGTCTCGGGTCAAGCCTTATATATGAGTGAACATATTCCTGGACCGTGTGGCTGCGACACATCATAAAATACTCTCTACCCATTCTCCATAATTACCACACCACATTTGATGGGGTTCAGATAGGAAGCAACAAATCACAGAGGGAAATATCTATATAGGAATATATACATATTTTCAGATATCTATACCAAAACTCACATCACCCAAACTTTAACAATGTGTTAGTGATATTCTATAGAACATCTTAATGGCTCCTGCGAAAACAGAACAATCTTCACACTGTTCCCTATATGAACACTTTTTTGGAAGCATGTTCAGCAGTTCTTCATAACAGACAATTCAAAATATACTATTTTGGTTGTGTTTTGTGACAGGGATTGGGGCTTGGGATGGAAACATGCCAAATTTTGGGGGGTGGGAAGGTGTAATTGGTGGTGGGATTGGTGTTTGAATATTAAATGTCATCAAATCTTGTGAATTAACTTATAAAAATAAAACACTGTCCACTGTCCTCCTGTTGTTCATCGATTTGCTCGAGCGGGCCCAGTAACGTCTTCATTTTGAGACTTGTTGTTACTATGTTTGGCATATTGAATACGTCATGGGTAGCTTGCCAGGCTCTGCCGTGCGGGCGAGATACTCTTGGTAGCTTACCAGCCTCTCCGAGAGGGGCGGAGGAACCGAACCCGGCTCGGCCGGGCTGGCTGTGCGCAAGGCAAACGCTCTACCGCTATGCTATCGATCCAATCCAGGATCTCAGATTTAAAGGACATTTAAAGATTATCCTGTACTGATGCTTGCATCTCTTCAGTGATAACAGTGAATAGTCGGCCTTAGGTGAGCCCTGAGAGCGTTGAAGTTTCTAGGCTAGATCCCGAAACTCATGCATTCTTGAGCTACTGAGTTCGAAACCATCTCTAAAGCAGATAAAACCACATTTCTTGCAACCACCTTCTCTACTCCCTCAACCTGGTCCACACACACCCATCAGTAACAAAAATAAGGGTGCCTACCTGCATGTGAAAGTCTTCACACACTTGAAAACAACACAGTTACTAGGTCCCCTGAGACATTTTCCTACCAAACACAGGAAAATTTCATATTGATTTTTAATATCTACCTAAGCAGTCTTCTGCCCCCGCGCCTGGGTGTTCCTTCCTGGAGCCCCTTGGAGGGGAGCGGGTTGAGCTTTCCTCCCCGCCCCGACCAGGGCTCCAGCAGCCGAAGATCTCCAGGACCAGCCACCACCATGCTGAGACCACTCTCCGCACACATGAAGGTACCGGCAGAGGGACAACGCCACGTGGGTTCCGGGGCCGAGACCTCCAAGCCTACTCGAATTGGAGTCGAGCATCTTCCACCCAGATCCTCCAAATTCCAGTAGGCGGGGGTCACACCCACCACCTGGCCCCCTGGCGCCGTGTAATCCCATCAATGGCCAAGACTCAGAGACTATAAAATCCAGCTCCCGGACGAGAACAGTGCAGTCTCTGCCCCCGCGCCTGGGTGTTCCTTCCCGGAGTCCCTTGTAGGGGAGCGGGTTGAGCTTTCCTCCCCGCCCCGACCAGGGCTCCGGCAGTCGAAGATCTTCAGGACTAGCCACCACCATGCTGAGACCACTCTCCGCACACATGAAGGCCGTGCGACATCTTATCACAACTTTTTTTTATGACATCTTATTGTCTCATTCCTATTTTGGACAAACTTGCAGGCTACCGAATGTAGCCTGCCCACACGGCAGAGTCTGGCAAACTCCCCGTGGCGTACCCAATATGCCAAATACCAGTAACAATGATGGGTCTCATTCTCCTAAAGAGCCTTGAATATAATCTCAGGGCTAGGATGAAAGAGACGTTACTGGGGCCTGCTCGAGGCAATCGACGAATAACAGGATGATGAAATGAAATGAAAATGAAACCTAAGCTTTTTATTCTTTCTCACATATACATATAGGTATATTCTCTATAGAGTCATACATCTCATCATGTTTATTTTAAAAGTTTTAAATTCAACAACTAGATGTTTCTTATACCCCGTAATGAATTGTGTGGTGCTGGAGTCACTCCATCATTTTAACATGGCCTGGTCTTTGAATCTAGAATTTTCTATGCCCACTAACTTTGTGCCATCTTCAAGTTTGATGAGCTTATCATCAAACTTGAAATATCTATATAGGAATATATACATATTTTCAGATATATATATACCAAAGCTCACATCACCCAAACCATAGCAGACCCTTGCCGGTTATCAGAGATTATTCCAGGCATATTTAACCTTTTTACAGCATTGCTATTATGTGGTTATTAAATTTATTAAGTGGCACCTTTGAAGTGGTGGTGATAAGATTAAGATTGCAATTCCACATACAAAGGGAGGAAAAAGGAAGAAAAAAAACAGACATCTAAGCTTGTCTTCTGAATGGGTCTCAGTGAACCATGAGCCTTCCTCGTTCAAACACTCATCTAATTGTGGTGCAACTATAATTCATTTGACTAAAAGAATAGAGCAGAAACCATGTTGTGCTGTTTGGGAGACTAAATCATGAGGAAGTTTAGATTCATCTGCTTACATGATTTCTGGAATTCCTGAATCACAACTCCCCCCCCGCCCCCGTGTAAATGGAATTTATTGATATGCCATAAAGTGAACTTATTGACAAAAGAGCTTAAGGCAGCATTCACAGCTATACAACATTCATTTTGCAAAAACTATACTAAGTATAGTTTCTAAGTGTTTAATTCGAACATTAAAAAGTTGCTGCAAGTTATATTTAGAATATTTTACCACTAACAACAGTGTATATTATTTCTAATGATTTCCTTTTCAAGAAAGCAATTAAAGATTACAAACATAGTTAGAGAATTCCTTCTGAGACTTCAACAAGAAACTCAATCATATGATTAGCATTAATGAGTATTTTGCCTGCAGTTTCATCATATGATAGGCCTAAAATAAGCTTTAAAAAGTGAAGTCCCTCAAAAGTTGAATAAAATATCGTTTTTGTGAGGTTGAGATCATCTTTGTCTCAACTAATTACCAAACACTCTCCTAGAGGCTCAACATTTCAGAGTAATTTTTAATTGATATATTTTTAACGTTTGTAATCTTTGGAGAAAAGCTATTGTTTTGGGGGTAGGTGGGAGGTTGGCTAAATCACATCTCTTAGAATTTTTTTATTTATTTATTTGATCACAACTGGCAATGCACGGGGGTCACTCCTGGCTCAGCGCTCGGGAATTACCCCTGGCGGTGCTCAGGGGACCATATGGGATGCTGGGAATCGAACCTGGGTCACCTGCGTGCAATGCAAATGCCCTACACGCTGTACTATCGCTCCAGCCCCAAATCACATCTTTTAAAGTCTGACCAAAGGTAATTTCTTGGCCTTTTGGTTAAGAACAAGTATTGTATCTGTTCTTTTTAGTTAAATATGTGATACATCCTCTATCCAAGGACAGTATACTAAATGAAATTTTAGAACAAGGAAATGGAATAAGAGCTTGCTCTGTTTATTCCACACATTGACCTGGTATTACAGCACCTCCAGGAACAGTCTCCCCCTCTCTGGGAAATAATACAAGTTCAAATAATAAACGTATACTAAAAGTAAAAAATAAATAAACAAAGTCTGACTAAAGAAGTCTCTCAATGAGAGACTAATCCCCACATAGGAAGCATATGTGAGATGAAAGACCTAAGATCACAGACACACTCAGATTTCCACTGCACCCAGGCTTCCATTAATTTCCTCTCTAAGATGCTTCACATCTAAACAAACCACCGAGTATATTCTAGCCCGACAGATCTCAGAGGACCACACTCCCAAACAGTGGTATAGGGATGAAGATAACTGCCTGGCTGACTCTTGAGAGAAAAATTAAATGGTAGTGTCTTATTTCATTTTGGATTTTTTTTCTCCCACTCCAATTGATGACTCATAGGCAGAGCAACATGCATGGTGTTGTGTCAGCGATCAATGTATTGTCTTTCAATTTCAAATTCTGATTTTGTTGCCTGAGCTAAACATCTGTCCTTTACGGGCTTCCTTTGACAGTTATATATTAAATTCCCAACAGAGGGCGCTGTGGACAGTCTCATTGAAAGGCGTTGGGAGGCGTCTCCCCTCAACTTCTTTCTTCCCACTGCTAAATGAATGTGGACCTTTGTCCACTTTCAGCACACATCTCCCTCCTGAGCCATCCCTCCAACCATCATTGACTTAGTCGCCCCTTCTTCTTCCCAACTGCATTATCTGTATTGCAAACCATAATGTCCAAAAGTAGAGAGAGTAAAAAAGAAAGAGCAATATGACTACTGGGAATATATCCCAGTGCGGCAAAAAAGTATAGTCGAAGTGACATCTGCTCTTGTTTGTTCATTGCAGCACTCTTTACAATAGCTACAATCTGGAAAAAACCTGAGTGCCCGAGAACAGATGACTGGTTAAAGAAACTTTGGTACATCTACACATTGGAGTACTATGCAGCTGTTAGAAAAGATGAAGTCATGAAATTTACAGACAAGTGGTAACACATGGAAAGTATCATGCTAAGCAAAATGGGTCAGAAAGAGAGGGACAGACATAGAAATATTGCATTCATCTGGGGAACATAAAGTAACAAAATAGAATACTAAAACCCAAGAATAGCCGATATAAGTACCAGGAGGTTTACTCCATGGCTTGGAGACCAACCACACATGCCAAGGGAAAAGGGAGTCAGATAGAGAAGAGAGCACCAAATAAAGGGTGTTGGGAGGATTCTTCCAGGATGGAAGAAGCGTGCTGAAAGTAGACTATAGACCAAACATGATTGCCACCCATTGCCTCTTTTGCAAACCACAACACCCAAAAGGAGAGAGAGAACAAAAGGGAATGCCCTGCCATAGAGGCAGGGTGAGATGCGGGGATGGAGGTGGGAGGGATGCTGGGACCAGTGGTGGTGGAGAATGGGCACTGGTGGAGGGATGGGTACTCAATCATTGTGCAACTGAAACCCAAGCACAAAAATTTGTAAGTCTACAACTGTACCTCATGGTGTCTCACTAATAAAAATTTGTTCGAGCTCGAGCGGGCCCAGTAACGTCTCCATTGGAGACTTTGTTGTTACTGTGTATGGCATATCGAACACTCTCGGTAGCTTGCCGGGCTCTCCGAGAGGGGCGGAGGAATCGAACTCGGGTCGGCCATGTTGGCCGCTTGTAAGGCGAACGCCCTACCCGCTGTGCTATTGCTTTTTTTTGAAAAAAAAAAAAAAAAAGGAAAGAGCCAACCTTAAAGGTAGAGTGTGGGGTGGGGGTGGGTGGGAGGGATACTGGGGACATTGGTGGTGGGAAATGTACACTGGTGGAGGGATGGTGTTCGATCATTGTATGACTGAAACCTAATCATGAAAGTATTGTAACTTTCTCACAGTGGTCCAATAAAAATAAAATCAAATATAATAATTAAATAAATAAATGACTGGACACAGTGTTCCTTGTAGTTGGACACAACATATTTCTCCAGTCTTTAGGCAGTAGTGTGTGGCTTCGAGCATTCTATATAATGCGTTAATGCTCTCTCTGTGCTCCCGTCAATCCTTGGCCGATGGACCGTTAACACTTGCTTCTGCAACATGGGAGGATTACATGGAAGACAGGAGGTTACTGAATTTTGTCCCTGCTACTGCTGCTGCCGCTGCTCCGACAATCCTCAGGGCTTACTCCTGAGATTCTATGCCCAGGAATTACTCCTGGCGGTGCTCTGGAGACCCTATAGGGTGCCAGGAATCTTAGTTGGCCTCATGCATGGTAAGCTCCTACCTGCTGTGCTATCTCTAGGGCTACTTTATATGCTTCTTTAGTGTTGGAATTGACTGCTGTGAATGTCCAAGGATTTGAACCTCAAATCCAAAATTTCAAGGTCTTTCTTTGGGTTGTCACTGACACAAATTTCTGTAGATTATTTTTCACCACATGTAAACCTTTCATTAGAGATGACACAAATCATCTATTACTTACGAAGTCATATGTATATATGCACACTAATTTAACAGAAGAGAGAAATGTAGAAGTACACTCAATGATTTGGACACTGTTCTCTTAGAAAGGAGGGACAGACAGGTGGGCAAGACCAAGAGCCTTAACCCCAACCTAAATAAGCTACAGGGAAAAGAAAGAAAGAAAGAAAGAAAGAAAGAAAGAAAGAAAGAAAGAAAGAAAGAAAGAAAGAAAGAGAGAGAAAGAGAGAGAGAGAAAGAAAGAAGGAAAGAAAGAAAGAAAGAAAGAAAGAAAGAAAGAAAGAAAGAAAGAAAGAAAGAAAGAAAGAGAGAAAGGACAGGGAAATGAAATTCAATGATCTCGGTTAACTGTTATTTCTTGGTGCCCTTCTATTAAATAATTCGATTGGTCATGAAAGTGGCTTGTGTCCCCTTTCTAAGACAAGGCTGACAATCATAACACTATAATGTCATTGTACGACTGAGGGACCCACTATCAAAAGTGTGTGGTAGCAAATATGCAAATCAGAACACACGAATGTTTCACTATCAATCAGGACCCGATCCATTGCTAAAATGAATGAAGATCATTAAGTGGATTTGTCTCTGGGTCAAAAAAATAAAGAAAAAATTTGATTTGTCTCTGAAAATTTCAAAGTGCCTGACTAACGACAGAATCATTAACAATGTCACTCATCCCAGTTCAATGACTTTTTCAGGCTTCTTGCTGTGGTCCTAATTGGAAACAGTGTGAATTCTGTTGCTTTTCTTTTTAAAAATAATATTTTTAAAACATTATTCAAGGGCTGGAGTGATAGATAGTGCTAGGGCATTTTCCTTGCACGTGGCTGGCCCAGCCGAGCCGGGTTCGATTCCTCCGCCCCTCTCGGAGAGCCCAGCAAGCTACCTAGAGTATTCAGCCCTCACGGCAAAGCCTGGCAAGCTACCTGTGACATATTCATATGCCAAACACAGTAACAACAAGTCTTACAATGGAGACGTTACTGGGCCCTCTCAAGCAAATCAATGAACAACCAGAGGACAGTGACAGTGACAGTGACAGTGACAATATTATTCAAGCGCCATGATTTATGAAGTTTTTCCTAGCTGAGTTTTAGACAGGCAGTGTTCCACTACTCATTTCACCACCAGTGTCCACTTCCCTCTTCCAGAGTTCCTAGGGATTCCTCCAACCCCCACCCCCAGCTGCCACCTTGACAGGTACCCTTTTAAGTCTGTTTTTTGTTTGGTTTGGTTTGGTTTGTTTTTTTTTGGTTTTTCGTTTTGCTCTTTGGGTCACACCCAACGATGTACAGGGATTACTCCTGGCTCTGCACTCAGGAATTACTCGTGGCGGTGCTCAGGGGACCATACGGGATGCTGCGAATTGAACCTGGGTTGGCTGCGTGCAAGGCAAACTCCCTACCTGCTGTGCTACTGCTCCAGCCCCACACTTTTTAGTTTTGTTGTTGAAGTTTGTTTTCATGTTTTCAGTGTTACTAATTCTCTATTTTGTTTTTCTAAAATTACTCTCTTCGGGTCCAAAAAAATGCTTGCACATTTACTAATTTGGGACGTTTTCTCTTCCAACCAAGAGAAGAGTTTATAAATATAGTATTTTTTAATTTTATTTTTTGGAGCTGGAGCGATAGCACAGCGGGTAGAGCGTTTGCCTTGCACGCCACTGACATGGCCAACCCGAGTTCGATTCTTCTGCCCCTCTTGGAGAGCCGGGCAAGCTACCAAGAGTATCTCACCCGCATGGCAGAGCCTGGCAAGTTACCCGTGATGTATTTGATATGCCAAACACAGTAACAAGTCTCACAATGTTACATGGCCCACTCGAGCAAATCGATGAACAATGGGAGGACAGTGACAGTGACAGTGATTTCTTGGAAGGGATGGGAATTTTGGGGTCACACCTGGAGATGTTTAGGGTTACTCCTGGTTGTGCACTCAGAAATTACTCCTCAGCTCGCTCATCCTTCTCTCCCGAAAGGGAGCAACTTGACGCTCACCATAACCATGCCACCAGATACCACACCAGGCTGTTTCACTCAGGGGTGTCTGGGAGGGGGGTGGGTGAGAACCCTCCCAGTCCCAAGGGACCCAGCTCCGGCAGCTACAAACGTCCACAACTCCGCTGCTGCCAAACTCACAGCCGCTCTCCATAGGCTGGGGTCAAGCCCCACCCACAAGTGCATCTATTCCTGGATACTTCTAACCAAATACTCTACCCATATTCCAGGATTACTGCACCACATTTGACAGCGTTTAAAATAGGAGGCAACACGGGGCTGGAGAGATAGCACAGCAGAGAGGGTGTTTGCCTTGCACGCGGCCGACCCAGGGTTTGATTCCCAGCATCCCATATGATCCCCTGAACACCGCCAGGAGTAACTCCTGAGTGCAGAGCCAGGAGTAACCCCTGTGTATCACCAGGTGTGACCCAAAAAGCAAAAAAAAAAATAGGAGGCAACAAATCTTGGAGGGAAATATACATTTATTTTTCATATACATATATATATACATATATATATACACACACATATCAAAAACACCCAAGGCTCAACCTTTAACAACAT